TCTCTCGGGCCATGGCGAGCAAACCTTCACTAAATTGTTGAATAATGCTACAATATCTGCGCTGTAAGCACCAAAATGAAACATGGAAATAGTATTGGGAAAAAGAATGGTTGTGCAGGGTAGGGCTGATCTCCGAGTATTACTCCCACTGTTTCGATCTTCCGATCTTCCTGATTAGGCTCAACGTTTCCGCCCCGGTCATAGGTATTCCTGCAGATCGAGCCTAGTTTCCCTGCGGCAAAAATAGCTGTTCAAAAGGAAAAGTACAAAAACATATCAGAGAAGAACTCCCTCATTCACTCCCAAGCCAAACAAACTTGACACATGTCCTCCACATCGCATGCTCCCTCTGAGCTTTCCCGGCTGCCACGCAACTCTGGGCATCCGTGCGGAGCATTCCTCTTGTAATAAACCCAATAGCCACTGTTGGCATCCACCACCTGCGATCGAGCCCAAGCTCCTTTCGCTTGGCGCCTTCTCCGCTTGACCAGCTTTGAAAAACGACCCTGCAAAGCCCAGAAAGCTTAAATCTTCACAGTCTACATTCATAGCGATGGTCTCCCACCTACTGGCGATGGCCTCCAACCTAATAGCGATGGCATCCAACCTACTAGCGATGGTCTCCAACCTACTGGCGATGGCCTCCAACCTAGTAGCGATGGTCTCCAACCTACTGGCGATGGTCTCCAACCTACTAGCGATGCTCCAACCTAAGAGCGATGGCCTCCAACCTAAGAGCGATGGCCTCCAACCTCATAGCGTTGGCCTCCAACCTAGTAGCGATGGCCTCCAACCTAAGAGCGATGGCTCTCCAACCTACTGGCGATGGCCTCCAACCTAATAGCGATGAGACAGGTGACATGAGGTGACTTACTAGCGATGGTCTCCAACCTACTGGCGATGGTGTCCAACCTACTAGCGATGGCTCTCCAACCTAAGAGCGATGGCCTCCAACCTCATAGCGATGGCCTCCAACCTAAGAGCGATGACCTCCAACCTAAGAGCGATGGCCTCCAACCTCATAGCGATGGCCTCCAACCTAGTAGCGATGGCCTCCAACCTAAGAGCGATGGCCTCCAACCTAAGAGCGATGGCCTTCAACCTACCAGGGATGGCCTCCAACCTACTAGGGATGGCCTCCGACCTACTAGCGATGGCCTCCAACCTACTAGGGATGGCCTCCAATCTGCTAGCGATGGCCTCCAACCTACTAGCGATGGCCTCCAACCTACTAGCGATGGTCTCCGACCTAATAATAGCGATGGCCTCCAACCTAATAGCGATGAGACAATTGGCATCAGTAGACATCAGTAGCTGTTCGCTTTTTCTTCATCCGCACGTTCGCAGCTCCAATTGTGAAATCCATTAGATTTGGATGGCTACAGCGGCTACACTTCATCGCGATGTACTTCCACAGTCCAAGCAATTCTGGCCTGCAGCTGCCATTGCGCCATGCTGGGCTCTCTTTGGCAACACATCCGGCTTTGGAAATTTGCAAGGAGGTCAGTATCTTTGGTGCCCTTTGTCATGTAGAATGGTGCCAACAACAACCTGTATCTTCTTAGTTTCTTTGGTGTTTTTCTTTTTGCTGAGTGAACTTCAGAGATTGACCCTGGAGTGTCTCAGGTGCATTTGCACGGCCGTGCTGAAATGTCAGCTAAGCTCGTGCAGATATCGTTAAGCCCAGAAACAGCAAAATAATGAAGCAGAACAAAAGAAAGAAATTCGAGAAAGCACAAGAATAAGAAAAAATGACAACGAACATCAGTGAATGTGAAAAGAAGTCAAAAGCAAAGAAAATGCAAATGAAAGAGCACGAAACAAAACAATGAACAAAAACAAATGCGAGTTCAAAACCCGCCCCTGACTTTTCGTCCGCGCGAAGCTTGTCGGCTTGGCCGTTCAGCTTCTAGGCAAAAAAGCAGGGCAGCTTGGACTGGACATGGCTGGTTGCAGCTCATCTCTTGGTGAGTTGCATTAGCATTTCTCCAATGAAAAACCTTTCCAATCGATTTCCCTTCACTGTGTTGAACACCTTTGTCATTTGTGCTACAAAAGCTTTACTTCCTGCAGTATTCATGCGTTGCTTCGTCTGCACCATGGCCAGAAACCAGCTGCCGATGTCTGCCACAAATCAAATAGCTTGCGAATCCAGGGGCATGGCATGCCTCTCAGCAACAGCAGGCAACGGCTTTGTTTCCGGCGCTGGCTGTCACATCGGACCTTTTGAGATGTCAAATTTCCTTCGATTCGGAATCGACCTTAAAAACGGAAAAGGCAAAAACAAAAACGTGGTGTTTGAGCCTTTTGTTTGGATTTTTGGGAGCATGCTGTACATGTGCGGATGGCAAACAGGAGCTGTCCGCTGCTTTGGAAAGCTCTCTCTCTCAAAGGACCATCGAAAAAGGCGAAGCTTTACAAAACTGAAGTTTCACAAACATTGCTCTTCAGAGGTTGCTTGAATAGGCAAGGCCAGCAAAACAAACGTTTAAGGCAAAATATTACCATTAATTACCTGGTCAGTGGCAAATCACAGTAGTCATGAAACAACAACCTCGGCAATTAAATTTTGGTCACGGCATTCCCTCGTTCGACGAGCACCATTGACCACCAAATAATTCGTCCTAATGGACCACTGGACCAATCTCAAAGGAGCGATCTCACATGTTGGACATCATCTAAATCTTCCATCTCGTTGTGCTCAGAGATGTACGCACCAGAGTTTACCCAATTGTGTGCCTCAGTAGAAATGGCACCCCAGCTCCAGCTTTAGCTCCACTTGAATTCCTATAGTGAAACCTGAGAAGGGAGGGGGCGAGAGTCAGCCTCCGTAAGAAGACATCAATGTGGTTATGGGGTGAATTCGACAGCGCACTGGAACTGCTGTCAGGCATAGGGGAAATAGAAGGCAGATGCGGAAAGTCTCGCATTGAGGGACAGTATGACAGGCTCTGTATACACAAGGTTTTGATCAAGGCCCATTAGCGGTTATAGGATAGAAGTGGAGCCCATGCGTTAGGAAAAAAGTTGAGTTGGGCGAAGGCGAAGCGCCTTTCCAATAGAAACATAGGGGTTTGTCCACTTGCAACGTGACTTTCATGGGCAGGGTTGCGTTTTTAGATGTTTTAGATTTTTTCTTGAGAGCTCAACGTTGAGGCTTGAGAAGCTCTTTGACGATGTTTATCCGCTGCTTTCTGCCTTCTCCTGCCTCTGCAACTCCCGATCGCAGTCGGCTCCGTGATTTTCGGCGGTCACTCACCTGTTTCAGACCACTTGTGCTTCGCGCCCGCGGCGCGAAGCGCAAGTGAGGCTGAAGCCTGGTACTGGGATAAAATGAAATGACGGACCGGGCTTAATAGAAAAAGTGACGGACAGAGGCTTAACAGAGAAGTCAAGTGACGGACCGGGAATAATAAAGAAATGAAATGACGGGGGTTTAATAGAGAAATGAATCGGCGGACCGGGTTGAATAGAGAGATGAAATAACGGACCCTTAAGAGAAAATGATATAACGGACCCAAGTTGAATAGAGAAATGAAATCACGGATTGGGCTCAATAGAAACACGAAATGAGGGACCGTGTTCAATAGATACAGTAAATGAAATGACGGACCGGGTTTAAATAAAGAAATGAAATCATGACGGACCGGGTTCAATAGAGAAGTGAAATGACGGACCGAGTTTAATAGAGAAATGAAATGACGGACCGGGCTCAATAGAGAACTGAAATGACAGACCGGGTTAGCAGGACATTAAAAGGGGCACCCCCAAGCAACTCGAAGCTTGCCGACTGCATTCTGTTCCCTCTCCTGTCCTCAACGGGTGACATCGTTTCTTGCGTTCCCTTCCACTCCTATTGGCCACAAGAAAGCAGAGTGTTGACAGACGCACATCTCACTTTTGTGGTGGATTTCCAACCGCTTTCCCCATCACGTTATCCACCCCTTCCTGTCCTCCCACCCCTTGTCGAAAGACCGTCCTTGTGGCTTGCGCAATTACTAATTTGTAGTTTAGTAGTTTGCTTTGTGTGGGGGGAGATCCACTCCCAGATCCAGTTCCAGCAGTTCTAGTTGTCACTTCAATCCCTATGATGAAATATTGGGGGCAGGAGATCCACTTTCAGTTCTGGCTTCAGATCTAGTTGCGATTCCATTCCTCTGATAAAGGAAATAGATGTTGTCTATTTATCTTTTTTTTGCGGGGGTGGGAGGAGTTCCAGTTCCTGATCCAGTTCCAGCGGGGAACGCTTTGTCCAAGAGCTGGCAGCAGTCCCAGTCCAGATCCAGTTCCAATTCTAGATCCAGGTCTAGTTCCAGATCTAGTTGTGATTCCAATTCCTTTGATACTAGTAAAGGACACAAATGTTGTTGTTGTT